CGACGTCCGGTGGGGTTTCAACAACGTCCGGATCAAGGAGGGCGACGAGTGGAAGGCCGCATTCCAGACTACGTGCGGACTCTTCAAACCGTTGGTAATGTTCTTCGGACTAACGAATAGCCCATCCACCTTCCAGACCATGATGAACGACCTCTTCCGGGAGCTCATTACGGAAGGTGTGGTCATTATCTATCTGGATGACATTCTGATCTACACCAAGACGCGCGAAGAGCATCGCCGGGTTCTCAAGCGAGTCCTAGAGATCCTCCAGCGGAACAAGCTCTTCCTCCGAGTGGACAAGTGCGACTTCGAGCAGACCAAGGTGGAGTATCTCGGAGTTGTCATCTCTGAGGGTAAGATCGAGATGGATCCCGTGAAGGTTTCCGGAGCCACGGACTGGCCGACCCCCCGGACTCGGACTGAACTCCAATCCTTCCTCGGGTTCGTCAACTTCTACCGCCGCTTCATCAAGGACTACTCGCATATCGCCCGGCCTCTCTTTGACCTCACTTGCGCGAAGGAATGGCAGTGGAACGACTCTGCTCAATCCGCATTTCTTCGGATCAAGGAGCTGATCACTTCGGAGCCTGTTCTGGTCTTTCCAAAGGAGGATCGGCCATACCGGGTTGAAGCGGACTCGTCGGATTACGCTACGGGTGCGGTCTTGTCGCAGCTGGATCCAGATGATGGTAAATGGCATCCTGTCACATTCTACTCTAAAAGTCTACAGGCTGCGGAGCGGAACTACGAAATACACAACAAGGAGATGCTTTCAATCATCCGGGCACTCGAAGAATGGCGACACTACTTGGAAGGCGCAGAGACTCCGTTCGAGATCTGGACGGACCACAAGAACCTGGAGTACTTCATCAAGGCCCAGAAACTCAATCGTCATCAAGCCCGCTGGTCGCTATACCTCTCCCGCTTCGACTTCACTCTCCAGCACCGTCCGGGTCGGACAATGGGTAAGCCAGATGCTCTCTCGTGCCGCTCGGATCACTCAGATGGTAAGGATGACAACAAGGATGTGGTTTTACTTAAGCCGTCCTACTTTGCCGTCCGTGCCACGGGTGTCACTCTTGAAGGGGAGGAGAAGGATATCCTCACGGCTATCCGGACTGGAGTGCGGAATGCGAAGTTTGAAGATGCAGTGGCAAAGGCGGCGGAGGAGCTGAAGAAGACCCAGGGCAGTCGCAAGACAGTCCGGAGCACGGAATGGTCTCAATCGGACGGACTCCTGATGTTCCGGGGTAAGATCTATGTTCCGGACTCACCGGATTTGCGTCGGACCATTGTAGCCCAGCACCATGACACTAAGGTCGCAGGACACGCTGGCAGATGGAAGACCCTAGAGCTCATTTCACGCAGCTACTGGTGGCCCAACATGTCCCGGTACGTCGGATCCTACACCCGCCATTGCGACCTCTGTCTCCGGACGAAGGCCCAAAGGCATCCGCCCATGGGTGAACTCCATCCGCTTCCCATTCCGGATGAACGCTGGGATCGCCTGAGTGTTGACTTCATCGTTGAGCTTCCAGAGTCCGATGGGTTTGATGCTGTCATGAACGTGGTCAACTCCGTAAGCAAACACGCCCACTTCATTCCGACTCACACCACAGTGTCTGCCCTCGGATCCGCAAACTTGTACCTGCAGAACATCTGGAAGCTGCACGGACTCCCTTGGTCCGTTGTGTCCGACCGGGGTCCGCAATTCGTCGCAGAGTTCACCCGAGAAGTCTACTGGATGCTCGGAATCAAGCTGGCTGCCTCCACTGCGTACCACCCTCAGTCCGACGGACAGACGGAACGGACCAACCAGGAACTCGAGTCCTATCTCCGGATCTTCGTCGGAGAGCGTCAGGACGACTGGGCTCGCCTCCTACCTATGGCGGAGTTTGCGTACAACAACCGGGTCCATGTGTCCACTCAGCAGTCACCCTTCCTCCTGGATACCGGCTGTCATCCTCGTCTCGGGTTCGAACCTCATCAGCCACCGTCTCGGATGGAGTCCGCAAACGAGTTCGTAGACCGGATGAAATCCGCAGTCGACGAGGCTCAGTCCGCTTTGGTCAAGGCTCAGGACGACATGAAGCGCTACTACGATCAGCGTCGGACTCCCGCTCTGGAGTACCAACCGGGTGACAAGGTCTGGCTGGACTCGTCGGACATCAACCTTGCCCGACCCTCCCAGAAACTCGGACACGCACGACTCGGTCCTTACAAGGTCGTCCGGAAGGTTGGCAAGGCAGCGTACCGGCTCCAGCTCCCTCCGGGCTTATCCCGTCTCCATCCCGTCTTCCCTGTGGTCAAACTCTCTCCCTTCGTTCCGGACCCCATCCCGGGTAGACGCCCTGTCGCTCCGCCACCTCCGCAGCTCGTTGACGGAGAAGAGGAGCATGAGGTAGAAGAGGTCCGAAATAGCAGACGGTTCGGTCGGGTCCTGAAGTATCTGGTGCGCTGGCGAGGCTATGGTATCGAGCACGACTCCTGGAAGCCCGCAAGCAACCTCCAGCATGCTGCCCGGAAGGTCAAGGACTTCCATGATCGTCACCCGGACGCAGTACGCGTACTCCGGACGAGTCCGATGAATCCGACGACTGCTCTACCTCTCCGGATGACTCCTGCAGCACTGGACCAGTCCTGGGAGCGTTGGCGCAGTCGGAAGGCTCCGGGCTCCGGGCAGTCGTACTTCGACATCTTCTCGCAGCAATCCGGAGTTTCGGGGTTGGTGAATTCATGGCGCGGCAGGCAGGAATCTTCGCGTCGGGTCGCCGCAACCTTGAAGGGGGGGTGATGTAAGGGGACACTCCTATTTTCTCCTATTCCCCTGTCCCTGTCCCTCTCCCTTCCTCCTTCATTTCCTTTCTCCCTTCCTTCATCCCATGGACTATTATCTACATTCCCTTCATTCCCTTTCCTTCCCTCTCGCCCCCTTACCTTTCCGCTTCCCTTCCGTTCACTCCCTTCGCATCTGAGCCCCGTCTGGTGACTCCGAAGTCTTCCCGCGCTTCGGACTCGCCTCGGACTCGCTCGGACTCGTAGATACACTTCGGGGCTCGTCCGGGCTACCTCTATCCTCCTTTCCCACTTCATTACTCCTTGTCCCCACTTCCCCAGGTCGCTGGCACGACTCCTGTACATTCCCCTTCCACTTCATTATCACATGCCCCCTCGTACCTTGTGATATTCGTTCGTACCTGTGGCTGGTGTACTGTACAGTTACCCTTCATTCCTCCCACGCTACTACAGTATATACTTCGCTTTCTAGCATGGAGAATCCTTATCCTGTTCTCTTTGGATTCTCCCTCTGCTAGGTGAGCAGTTCTCTCATGTATTGCAGTTAGTCTTATTCATCTCTTTGGATTCTCCCTCTGCTAGGCTTGCACTGTGCGGCTATCTTGAGGTTGCCCTTACAGCTGGCCCGTCATCGCGTACGAGGGACCGGGGTTTCTTTGTCCTCAGGCCCAGAGGTGATATTGATTACCTCCTCCGGACTCTCCTTCCCACCCTGCTCCACCACCGCGCTCCTGCTCATCGATCCAACGGTGCCCAACCCGGCGATGAGCTTCACCCTCTGCGCTGCCTGCCGACGTTCCTCAGCGACTTGCGCGTCTCTGTGTCGCGCCTCACGCACCTCCGCAGCTTGCCAGGCTTCCTGTCTCCGTTGTTCTTCCATCACCTCGGCCTCTCGTTGTTGCTTGTCCTCGGCCCTACGCCGTTCTGCATCCGCAGCATCCTGAGCCTCTCGTGCTCGTCGGTCGTCCTCTGCCTGCCACTCAGCAAGCCGGCCCTGCGCTTCAAGCAGTTGTCCCGTTGCCATAGCCATGGTTGCTCGAACCTTGTTCTCCACGCTCACTTGCAGCTCTCGCACGAGAAGTATCTCCTCCGCGGCCGACAGCCAGTCCTAGTATTGGTTAGTCAAGTCTGCGTACGCGCTCGCCTTCCACGTACCTGCTGCTGCTCCATGTCAGCTATGGCCAGCTCCATGTCTTCACGGTGTGTGTCGTCCAACTCCGGCATTGTGTCTTCCATCCCAGCAAAATACTGCACCTCAGTCTCATAGGCAACGACTGCCTCCTTCTTCTTCATCGTACAGAGGTCGTCGGTCGAGTAGGCGGGAACATGTTGCCAGTTGTGTGCCATGGATGACTGATGGTGGTGGTGACAAAGAGAAGAGCAAGAGCGAATGTTGGACTTCGTCAGAATATCAACAAGCTGTCATGTGACCGCGCTTCCTTTGGTCTCACGCCACAACTTTGTTCACCCACCCACCTTCCCACTTCGCAATTCTTGCTTGCCGTGTATGTTGCCCCGGAGGGTCAACACATAAAGTCCCCAGGGGATGTAAGGGTTGAACCCTGTCGTTCTGTGCAGTCCGACTTCCCCTATCCCCTATTGACCCCTCTCCGACTCTTCGGACGCGCTCGCACATGACTCGGACGTCACTGACCCGTACCGGACACACGTGATAACGGATCAGACCTCTCGGATCAATGTTTCGTACCTCTTTTGTTTTGCGGACTCTAATACTTTGACTATACTAGCACCATTATTCGTTCCTGGTGCCTTTTTGTTTCAGACTTTTCCTTCATCTGATATTTTCTTAGCTACAAAAGCCTCCTGTACTCGTAGTTAGAAGAACCAAGCTTGTTTTCCCCCCCACATCGAGTCAGATTCTAAGCCGTCCGAAGCTTTCTCCTCATCCATTGTCAGAGTTTGCCGTCATCCGAGTCTGAGTCCGATCCGAAGCCAGTTTCTCCTGCCGTCCTTGTCATTCTCCTGCCGTCCTTGTTGTACTATCCGAAGCCAAGTTGTCTCTTCCGTGTCCGAAGCCATCCAAAGCCATCCGAAGCATCCGAAGTTTCTTATTCGTTCTTATCCAATCTCGGACTCATCGTTCTCGCACACAGCTTACTTGGGTGTCGCACGGACTTGTCCTGCCGGAGGCGGACCCTCGCATTTTATTAGACTACACTACTAGTCTACGTGTACATTCACTACTACAGTAGGCAACCTCGGAAACGTACAACGAACTTTGTGTTTGACTTCGAAGCCGGGGCCGGGGCGACGGCCTTAGGTTGCTGGGCCGGCTTGGGTTGACTCGAAGGAGCTGACTTTGCAGCTGACGCATACGAAGATGGGGTGGGGGCTTGCGGCCGTGAGCTGGGCGTGATCTGGGTTGAGTTGGGCACGGAAGAAGGGAGTGGGACAGATCCGAGCCGCCTTTCCACGTTTGAAATCCTCGAGGAGAGATTAGCCTCCAGGCTGAGGAAGAGATCCTTAATCTCTGATTTGAATCCGTCAAAACCTTTATCTTGGGCCGGGGCGGGCGCGCTAGGTTGGGACATGAAGATGTCATCGTCAACTGACACCATGCTGTCGATCTCGCGTAGTGTGTTCTTGAGTGCTTTAGCGACGCTAAGGACCTCTGCTACTGCATCGCCGTCATCGGTCCAACCGAGTGTGCTTCTGGCGCCGTCTACTATATCGCCAAGCAGCTCTACGCAGGCCCGACTCCATTCTGTGCATGACATATTTCGAGTGCCCCCACCCCGACGGATCGCCGCAAAGTAGGCGCGATGGGGCGTGGGGGGCGGCAGGGCGTTGTTTGATTCGATTCTAGCACGTTTTCGCGTAGGAGTTGCGTCGACGCGGTCGGACGTGGGGACGTAGAAATCATCGAGGTTTGGCACTGATTTCGGGTCTCCGAACTCGGATTCGAAGGCGCTGGGCGGGCGAGGGGGTGGAGTCTGCGGTAGCAGTTGGGGCAAGGCCTCAACGATTTGAAATCCACCGCTTGGGCGTTAGAGGCCCCGGGGTTGGGAGGGAATTGGTGAAAGCGTGGGCGCTAAACGAGCTGGTGGGAGTAAGAAGCCAAGAGGCGTCCGCACGTGATTGGCATATACGGTCATTTCGAATCCGAGGCTTCGATTTTTGAGTACAAACCTCCACATAACCTCACCATGGGGGCATATTACGACGAAATAGAAATCGAGGACATGGTCTGGGACCCAGAAAAGGGTGTATATCACTACCCCTGTCCCTGCGGCGATCGCTTCGAGATCTCCCGTCGCCAGCTCGCGGATTGCGAAGACATCGCGACGTGCCCGAGCTGTAGTCTGATAATACGAGTCATATTTGATCCAGTGCGTGCGCGGTGTGCCTATTCGAGGGCAGAGGACTAACGTACTCTCTTTCAGCTTGACTTCGAGGACGAGCCTTCGGATGGCGATGCTTCGGATCCTGGGACCGCAGATGACTCAGATGCTGAGAGCGACGACGATGGTTTTGAGGATGCAATGGAGCACCTCTCCATCTCCAATGAATCACCCGCCGCTGTCACAGTCTCTGCTTGATGTAGGCACATCCCGTTGCCAGACATTGGCGGAGAGCCTACGGCGTTCCAACGTATCGAAAACCCATGCAGCACAATAGCATGCACTGCTTTGTCTACGACTTAGTATGGGCACACCGAGGCAAGGTCATGCTGAAAAGAGGGGAGAGCAATCTATTAATGCGATCGTATTAAAAACAGTGCGGCGTAATAGAGCAAATAGATAAGTCAGACGTGGGGGCAAGGACAATCCAATAACATACGCCGTAGAATAACCATGCTTTTGAGTGCGGTAGGGGTAAGCAGATGGTGGAATATCCAGCCCGTGCTTCACATCAGACCTTGCGCGATCGAGCTCAACTGCGAGGCAACCTCTGGGTATTCTCTCGCAAACTCCATCTGCGCAGAGGTGGCCTGCCAAAATCAAAAGATCAGCGTCAACTCCTGTATTTCGAACAAGTGCACATACGTATTTGTACTGCAAAGCCGCTTGCAACTCTGGCTCCGTTCGCGCCAGCTCCACCTGTTTGTCCAGAAACTCGATCGCCTGCGGGATCTTGTTCTGCTGCAGGAGAAGCTGCGCTAGTGTTCCGGCGGCGGCATCGCAGTCAGAATCTAGCCGGAGAGCCTCGCGGCAACAGCGCTCAGCAGCACCGATGTCTTGCTTCCACTGGAACAGCGCGAGACCTTTGTTAACCAACGGAAGGACATTCGTGGGTGACCTGAGCAAGCATGAGCACCTAGCAAATAAAGAGAAAAGAAGAAAAGCTGACTTGGTCATCTCAACTGCTATTGCCTCGTCAAACTTCTCTATGGCTTCCTGCGGCCGTTGCTGGTCCAATAGCAGTTCACCACTACGCCCAACAGCAATAAGCTCGCTTGCCCGCATGCTGCAATCACAGTCGACTTACTAGTAGTTCAATGGCTCACTGCGATCCGGGAACGCCTGCAGCGTCCGCCTGAATGTCGCCATACTCTTCCCAATCTGATCAGCCTTGTATTGCGCAACAGCCAGCTGAATGTGGCTGAACACGAAGGTGTCGTCCAGCGTCATCGACTTGGTATAGTCATCCGCGGCCTCTTGGAACTGGTTCATTATGAATAGAACTACCCCAAGAGTCAGCGCACACGTCATCAGAGAATACAGCGTATTCACCTTGTCCGCGGTGGTAGTAGATGTCGGGGTCGTTGGGATTCTGCGCGATTGCCTGCTCGAAGTGTTCGAATGCGAGCGTCGGGTTGCCCTGCTCCATATGGACGCTCGCGAGCTTGACTATGCTCTGCGTATATGACGGGATCAGTGCGATGGACTCGTTGAAGTCTGCCTTCGCGCCATCGACGTCGCTCATGACGAACCTACCAAACATACATATTAGCATCCTCGCATTGGCACTTGCGCTATGGCACATACTTGAAAGTCCCCCTGAGGTTCAGCGCCTCTGCCTTGCCGGCGTCCCATGAGATGCCCTGGTCGAGTGCCTCGTTCACGAAGGACATGGCGTGGTGGTAGTCACCGGCTTGCAAAGCCTGGAGGGCAAGCAATAGAGTTTCGTCGCCCGTCGTGGGGTTCTCCGGGAGAGTGGGTAGAGGACCTGCGCGGGGATGTTATAGATCCAGCGGTACCATGCGAAGATATTCGACTTACGAGGTCGGAAGGCAGCAAAGTACGCGGATATGAAGGTTAGTGAAGGGAGGCGGGGTTCACGGGTCTAACACCCGGTGAGTCATAGCACAATTTCAAACAAAATTGGCAGACGAACAGTAAGGATCTCTTTGGCTTTCTCCGCAGAGTACAACTTCAGAATACGCTCGACGGCCTGCACAGTTTCTTGCTTTGAGAACTTTTCCAGTATACTCGTCGCCGTGAAATCTTTAGATGGAGAAATGAGTTGCATCTGACGTAGTTTCGTAATGCGGGAAGGAAGATTACCTCGCAAAGCTTGGTCGTATCTCTGTAGCTTCTCCGCTACGCCTGCCCGTCGGTTCAACGCTTTTATGTACTGCCTGTCGAGCGAGAGCGCAGAATCGCAGTCCTGGAGAGCCTGTTCAAGCCTTCCGAGATTTACGTAGCCTGTATGTCAACCCATCAGCGCCGAACGTCCGCGACTGCAAGCAACTCACATGCAGCACGATTGCTGTAGAACACGGGTTCGCCGTGTGGTGCAACTTCGATTGCCCGTGTGTAGAACCGCTCAGCAACGGAGAAGTTGCGCTCGCCGTACGCCTTGTTGCCCTTTTCCTTGAACGATTTTGCTATGCGTGTGCGTTCCTGTTATATCATCAGACTTGGCTTCGTCGACAGCATGATACCACGGTCGTACCTCTTCCGGCATAGCCAATATAGCCTCCGCAGTCAGAGTCTCATCATCTAACGGCGACGATATGTACTTGAATCATGCGAATGTGAACAAAGGTGAATACCTGTCTCGTCTGCAATCTTTGCGGATTTGTCCTCCAGTATCGGCGAGTCTTTGGTGCTTTTGGCTGACTTTTTCTTCTTTCCACCCTTCTTCTTGTCCTTTTTGCCCTCGCCCTTCTCTGGGTCTCCGGCGCGCCTTCGTTCGGATGAGGTGGAAGCATAGTAGACAGTAGCACCGCCAACAGCGACAGCCGCCGCCGCCCCAATCAATATCGCGCGCTTGTTGTCGAGGAAGAAGTTCTGGACGCGCTCTATGACAGTGTCGGTGGGCATTTCCGACTGCGACGGCATTTTGAAGGAAAAGACGAGCAGGACAGTGTAACTTTTGTCGAGAACGCCGGAACGCGACGCAGACGGCAAATGGTGAGTGACCGTGGGAGATGAAGCGCTTACATCCGAGCCGGACCCCCCTGACGAGCTCCTAAGCGTTGTTTGTACTTGCTTCTTTCTCAGGCTGAAGAGCTTTCCCGTCCGCTACGACTATCGTCTCTGCGTCGTACAGTCGCGGACAATCAAACACAGCAACTTTTCGTCATCAGTTCCATGTGCTGCCAAATGCATCCATATCCCCCATAGAGTGTAAAGACATCATATTATGGACCAAATGAATAGATTTGTACGATAGGATTTTCCGTTTTCAAGGTTTTGAGAATCAAACGCGGAAAATTTTGGCGGATCCCCAAAAAAGGCCAATAAAATCCCGAAAAAATCAGAAATCAACTCCTTTTCGTTGGTGGATACCGCAGCCGAAAGGGCGCATCAATTGGTACGTTGGTTGGCGCTAAAAAAATTATTACTTTTCGTTGAAGATGGCAGGTAAACGTCGCCGCAAAGCAGTAAATCGGAACATAAGTGGCCTCCGCGGCCAAAGAGGAGAGACAGTATCAGACGATGCGCAACCAGCTACTCAAGAACCCTTCACCCCAGCCATCACCAGTGATCCGGAGCCCGCCAACGTGCCAATAGAAGCCGAAAGGGTGAATGACAGCGAAATATAGACAAAACTAACTAATATATACAGTATTGGGGGTGGTGTAAATACCGTTACCGTCAGATACCCAAACGGACATTTGAAGACGCAAAGCAAGCTGCCCTTCAGTGTTTAAATTCCTGCCCTACGGATGTAATCCGGCGGTTCGCTAATCGTTCCTGGAGGTTTATGGACGCATATCGAAAGGGTCTATCCGGGAATGCGGTTGCTTGGGCTGTGAAAAAGCAGAAGGGACATCGGACGGTGTCGCAAAGGGCAATGCTATCTATTGAAGCGGTCCTAAATTAGTAGTTTAGCGCCTATATAATGTCGTTCAAACTCACCAAAATTTTGGCGGATCCTTATTTGTCGTGGGAAAAACTTCGGAGATGTGTTTTTTGACGTATTTTCCTCTTCTGAGTCTGATCCTGCCCTCAGATTTGCCTCAAATGTGTTCGATCGTGAGATACCAAAGTTGCTGTGTTTGATTGTCCGCGACTGTACCTACATACTACTTTACTGTTGTTTGAGGGTCGGAAGAGAGCGCAAAACCGTCGTTACACCTGTAAACGTAGATAGGTTGAGGTGACCAGCGCCAATGTCTGACCCAGTAGAATTGAAGAAACTGGTAAAACAGCTACAAAGCGCAACAACCGAGCAGGTGAGCCTATGGTCAGCCCGTTCATTGTGTGTTCAGCACTGACGCTTCGTGTTACAGGAGATTGTCGACATCCTCCAGACGCTAAAAAAAGAATTCCAGGTCAATGAAGCCATCTTGAGGGTGCGTACTGTCTGACACGGGCGCGCCACGTTCTGACAGTCACTTGACAGGAAAGCAAAGCCGGGTTAGCAGTCGGGAAACTACGCACGCATGCAAAAAAGGAGGTGGCCGATGCAGCGAAAGAGCTCGTGAAGAAGTGGAAAACAGAGGTCGAGCGAGCAAAGGCCGGTGGCACCCACCCTGCGAAAGCGGCGCCAGGTGCGTAGTGTCTTCGCCCTTCGCCTCGCAGCGACAGCGTCGCTGAGGGAGATGCAGCCCGCAAAGCCTCGATCGTCAGTGGTCCATCAACACCGATAACGCCTACTGCACCCAGTGGCGGCAAACCCGAAGTTCGAACTGCAAAGAAAGATGGGGTATCAATGAATCACACAGGAGACACTACGCGAGACAAGTGCATGGAACTCGTCTACGATTCTTTGGCCGTAGACTCTGGATCACGTACGCACATTCACGTCTCTGAGCCCTCTCGCCGCTCATTTGTTACCAGCTTCGGAGCAGCTGTTTGACCGCGCTAGAGCCATCGAGAAGGCAGTTTATACTGAACACGGGTCCACAAACGCAGCGTACAAGGCGAAGATACGCACGCTATTTGTGAACCTGAAGGATAAGAACAACCCAAGCTTGCGGGGGAACGTTGTCAGTGGCGAGCTGCCTGTTGAACGCTTCACGAAGATGTCCAGTCAGGTAATTCGTCTTATGTCGAGAGAAGAGGCTGGCGCTGAGACGTAATTCAGGAAATGGCGTCAGAAGAACGAAAGGCTGCTGACAGCAAAATCCGCGAGGACAATCTCTTCGCTTCTTTGGGCGCTGGGGAGCAGCAAGCAGAAACGGATGCCTTCCAATGTGGCCGATGCAAGCAAAGAAAATGTCGTTACCGTCAGGCACAAACTCGCAGTGCTGATGAACCTATGACCGTGAGTTTCATGTTTTTTTTTTCGATCCTGGCACCAGACACTCACCTTGCTTTACAGACATTCGTTACGTTAGTATCCTTCTGCTCATCCCCCGCGTGTAACGCTAACATGTGTCTCTCCGCAGATGCACTGTTTGCAACAACAGGTACGTAGACTCGGTGCGTTTCAAGCCACAATCACTCACCCCTACACAGATGGAAATTCTCTTAAACCGATCTTTGACCCTTTGCCTACACCCTCCACCCCTCCAGTATACCATCGCACTCAAACATTACTTCACCTTGTCCATTCAGCGAGACTTAAGTCACCGCGCCTTCTCTTTGTAAAATCGCCTTTAAAAGCCAACGAGATCACATTGTATTTATCCACCTTGCCACCTTTTCTAGCTTTGTCGCCGATTCGTCGTCCTATGCACCCGTTGACACTAAATTTCCGCTAATCTCCTTTAAAGTTTGTCGTCACTGATATACATACTTCCCTTCTCGAATTCAAGTTGGTAAATGCTGTTGACCACGTCATACGTCGCATACTCTTTTCAACGTACCCTCGAGCTCTGTCAAGGTTTGCCCCCCGATGCACACCGCAGGTACGTCCGAGGTTCACATCGGTCTCCCATGTAACATCACGAAGAGTCGGCTACTAAGTGTGGCAGTGGGTATGTATAACACCATCTACTTCTTCCGTTGATTGATGGAAGTAGGTCAGTAGACATGAAGCGGCCGAAAGCGGTCCGTCTGGCGGAGCGACGTGTCGATAACACACCACATAAGTAATACTGACTGCCATGATGTTGAAGATATACCCGCCATCCGAATATCCTGTAATGAAATCCCTGGTGTCGTGGCTACTCGTCACCCTCTGCATATGTAGGTCGTTAACTTGCCGAAGAACGTAGCACTCACTTACTCGCTCGCTCTAGTGGCGAAGCACGCCCTGGGAAACTCAAATCCCATCCTTCCTGGCTGGAACCCCGATCCCACAATCCTACGAGTTGATGATGACTATTTTATCTCGACTTCGACGTTCGAGTACTTTCCTGGGCACCCCATTTATCACAGCAAGAATCTAGTGGATTGGACTCTCGTTGGACATGCCTTGAATAGGCCGTCGCAGTTGCCCTTGTACGGGACTCCTTCTGATGCTGGTGCGCTCCTAAATTTGCTACGACCTGATTTGGGGTGCATCCAATCTAACTGGAAGAACTATTATATTGCTGAAGGTTTGTGGGCACCAGGTCTGCGTCACCATGACGGAGTATTCTACCTCACGTCTACAGCTAGATATGTCTATAGTTGTAAGTGATCTCACCCTCAAAAGCACGATCCCACCGTCTGCCTTCCTCATGAACGCGTTAGCTTTGGTCGTGCTATGCTGATGTCCTCCAAGCAGAGCTGCGCCTCTTTCCTAGATCATTCTACGTCACCACCCGCGATATCTTCTCAAACAACTGGAGTGATCCTGTGTATTTCGATGCTTTGGGATATGATGCGGACCTATTTTGGGACGTAAACGGTGATGTTAGTCAAGCATCGATATACCAACGACCACAAACTTGACCAAACCCTGAACTAGGTCTATAACACTTGGTCAGGCATCAACAACGCCGTAGACAAAATATACGGTCGGTTCTTTCCCCCCATACTTATGCTGACTACGAATTCATGATCTGTAGGAATATGGCAAAACAAAATTGATCTGTCAACAGGAAACTCACTGACGGAGGCAAAGTTGATATTCAACGGGACACTGCCAAATGATTCAGCCGCTCGTCCCGAAGGACCTCATATCTATCACATTAATGGGACTTACTATCTCCTCATTGCAGAAGGTAAGCCTTGCCTTCTAACATCATCACCAACTGTGTCTTACTTATGGTCCAATGTCCACTTTAGGGGGCACAGACGTCCATCATCGAGCGACCATTCAACGGGGCCCATCACCCTCTGGGCCCTGGGAGAACAATCCAGACAACCCGATTTTGTTCAACGGCGCCGACTTAAACAATAGCGTGCAAAATACAGGACATGCAGACATTGTGAAAGGTGCAGATGGCCGATGGTGGGGAGTTTCCCTCGGTGTACGTCCACAAAATGGCAATATGAGTCACATACAGCTAGGTCAGTGTTGATTGTCCGGTATGAAAACTTGAAAGGTTGAGCCTTGTCCGCGATTACGTTTTGACAGGAAGGGAAACATTCCTCTTCCCCGTAACCTGGGAGAATGGATGGCCTGTCTTTAACAATGGCAAGCCCATCACAGAGGAGCTGGATGTCCATCGCGCGCCTCAAACTGATTGTTCTAAAGCCAGCTTTGTCCGTACTTTCACTTCCACTCACTCCCTTGACCCAACCTTCTACTTCCTCCGCACCCCATACAAACCCTTTTACTCCCTATCTGCCCGCCCAGGCTTCCTTCGCCTCTTCGCAAACTCGTATGCACCAGGTGACAGAGACTCGCCTGCAATGATACTTCGCAAACAATCGAGTTATTCGGAAAGATTCGAAGTGCAGATGGACTTCACTCCGGGGACGGCGTTGAATGAGGCGGGCGTGACTGTGTTTTATGGAGATTTGTTACACAGTGAAATGGGAGTAATGGGAGACGGCGGCGCGACTAGCGCAGGACGGAGGATCATTGTGCGCACGGCTGTCCAGGCGGAGCAAGTGGGTCCTTGGGCTCTGACAACCACCAATGCGACAATCATCACGGTAAGGAGGTTCAAATGGAGGTAGCAACTTACCTAACTGAATGGCATGTTAGACTGAGTATTTTCCTTTGCAAACGAAGGGCGTTTCGATAAAACTCAAGGTGCTCACTTCGCCGACATCATACATCTTCGGATACTCAGAGAGCAACAATTCGAGCTCGAACTTCTCATTCATTAAAAAAATTGATGCCTCTACGCTTTCGCTCCCAACTGCTGGGTAAGGAATCTCTTCACTAAAACGTAGTTTGCTTCATATTGTGTCATTTAGGGGATTCTTTTTCAAGGGGACTTCGCTCGGAATCTATAACACAGGGAATGGAAAGCCGAGTCTTGCTCCAGCAGATTTCTCCTACTGGCACCAGACTCCGTCGGTCACTTGAATGGGTTGATTGGTAACACGAATGTGAATGGTCTGAAAGGTGTGCGGTTTGAAAGGGTTTTAGTCAAGTTGCAGTAAATGGAAGCTCTCGCAAAGAATTGACTGGAGTGATTGCAGCCTGTTATCCTATCTAAAACAAACCTCCGTTAAAATTGCCGTCCCGCATCTTGCATCAGAACCACTATGTTGCCATACCCGACGGAAGTGGCCATGTCCTTTCCCAACGCCCCCATACTTGTCAACTGTCTGGTTTCTGGTGATGATCCCAGAACAGCATTCACTATAGAAATCTCTGGATTTGGGTATGCTTCAGCTGTTGTAAAAATAGAGCGTAAAGTGAGACCAGCTCTAAAAATGTCGTTATCATAGTTCTTGTACAAAGCGGCCCGATAAAGTTGGGTATGCCCTTTGTTCACGTGCCTCCCACCTAGCGCCGGATATCCAAGCTTCAAATTCGAGTTGGCCACACGATCGATTTCTCGTCCAAAGATCATGTCGAGCGCGAAACGCAGAAGAGAAAGTGATGGGACTACGGCGTCTTCTAGTCTATCCACAGCCGAATCTCCTGAAGTGCTTACAGACCAACACGCGGTGATCCGTGCCTGGCTGGAGGACACCAACGAGGGCCGTCTCTTCTCTCAGATCTTAGAATTCGCACTACAGACGGGGACGTCAAGTACTTACCTCCATCTCAAGAGCTTCTTGGCCGAGCACACGCCGGAGGATGTTCGTAACATATTACTGGGCTCAGATGGACGCAGGGTTCTGCGAAGTATCGAAGACCTGCAAGCAAAGAGGGACTTGAACCGAACAGACCTTGTTCTGGAAATGCTCCATGAACGTGAGTGCCACTTTGTCTACTCCAGGGCGACTTACGGGCTGACTGCCTTCTGGATCGTGGCAACCAGCCGTCCCCACTTTTGACGAGACCATTGATGAAAAAGGTATCTCCACCAATGGACCTAGCCCCAGTCTCTAGATATTGATGAAACTAGCCTTCCGAACCGCTGTAGAAGACGCAAGAGTGGCTGATAGCCCATCTACAATTGCGAACAGTGTTTCCAAGTTCCAAGACGAACAGAAAAAACATCCGACCTACAACGGGCGGCCGAACTCGCGCATTGGTCCGCCTATCACTATCTATAACCGTACATTTGCCATTATTCGCGATAGGCTCAAGGATCTGTCGAAGGAAGCCCTTGCGCCTGACTTGGTCGTTGACACCTCCCACCTCTTCGATGCCGCAGCCGTCATCTATGACAAGGAGAATAGGCGGGAAGATGCCATATATCCGATCCTTCAAAGATTGTTCAAGGTGCCGCTCGAGCGCAAAATTAAGGCATCATTCGGTAGTGGGACGGCCGCTGAGAGCGACGCCGCATTCATCTTTGAACTAGAAGATGGGTCCAAAGCGATCATTGCCCACGCCGAACATAAGGACGAACTGGGCCTCGCTGGCCAAAGTGGTGTACAGGGTCCTCTCACTCTGAGAAAGCACTTAGCTACTACCAACGTACATGCTCGTGGCTTTCGTTCCTCCCTCACAAAGACTAACTAGAACTGCTCAGTACATCAAACTACGCAACTCGTCACATTGCCCCTGTCTGCTCGTTTCTACCGCCGGCCCCTACGTATGCTTTGCTGGCTCTATCCAGGTCGATGTATTCTCTACCCAGCAATTTACCGACTACATCTGTCTTGGAACGGATGACCTGCACCGTCAAGAACAAGTCGAGGAGGTCTCGAAGATATTTGGCATCTTCCGAGATGCGTTGAATGACTTGAAGGCATATTACAGCAGTCTCACCCTCTCGGACACGCCGTCGCCTGCCCGCCTATACCCGTCGCCGATGTACAAAACACATCCACCTGCACCAATTCAGTTTGTTGAACGCTTGCGATTTCCTGGTTGGAACGATGAGTCCTACCATTGTTCACTGTTCAAAGCCAAGCTTGGCGACGAGCCTGTCGTCGTCAAGTTTTGCCAAACCTACGGCGAAGAAGCCCACAACATCGTTGCAGCCGCAGGTCTTGCTCCTCGCCTCCGCTTTGTTGGAGCACTGTGCGGTGGGGGCAAGATGGTTGTGATGGATGACGCCAAAGGCGAACCCGCCTCGGTCGTGTTTCGAGGCCTGCAGGCGCTGCCCCCGACTGTCATGAGCGATCTGCAATTCGCAATTCATACACTCCATGCAAAGGATCTTGTTTACGGCGACCTACGGGCCCCCAATATCATTGTACGCCAGGAGGGTCCACTTTGGCGGGCGTCTTTAGTTGATTTCGACTGGTCGGGCCCGGCGGGCACTGTTTGCTATCCATCCAACCTCAATACCTCAGCCTTCTGGGGCATCGGCGCTGGACCATGTCTCCCGATCCTGAAGGAACATGATTTGGGTATGCTTCAGCTGTTGTAAAAATGTCGTGATCATAGTTCTTGTACAAAACGGTCCGATAAAGTTGGATACTCTCGGGTATGCCCTTTGTTCACGTGCCTCCCACCTAGCGGCGGATCTCTTCAAATTGAGCTCGTCATACTAGGCTCGTAAACCAGCGCTCTATCGAGATTATGATAAGTCGAGTAATCTGAGAATAGATCCAACAGCTCTCGAGGAAAGCCGGTGAGGAGGAGTTTCCGGACCTGTACCACATCCTCTGTGATGGGGTAGCGCGGGGGCATCTTGGTCGTTAGCCTTTGCCAGAGCCCCCTGAGGCCTGAGGCTTGAGTACTTGAGTACTGAGTACATGCAGAGGCGGGCTACTGACTTTTAATATTTTAATGTCACGAGTCCAAACCTTCACTCAAGTCTTCTCCTGTGCGAGTTAGCGTCGGACCGAAGGCATTGTAAGTATTTAGGTAGCGTTGATGCCTGATTTGAACGTTGTTATACGTGACAATAGCAACTTCAATACGAACAAGTCCATATTTACATGCGATGGCAGCGGGCAAGATTGAGATTTGTATTGACTACACTAATGAGGGGTCATTCCGTGATAGCCGGTAGCCTTCAAAGACTTTCCATTCACCGTGGAAAGTTTAAACGTGGCATCGGCAACGGAATGTAGGATATGTCTAACATACTCCTCGCTGTATGAACGAGACTCGAGACTGAGCTTTGAAAGAGACCAGCCACGGTAACGACCGGCTCTCATAGTGTTGGTAAATCTTTGGAATGGCCAGGAGTGTCCCTAATGATGTTGTGAGTAAATGGAATTACCAGTAAGTCCTAGCACTCACAGTATTGATATCGAAGTTGACAAATTCGCCTTGATTATTAAGGCGCGTGCTAAGAACTTCGTCAAATACTATGCTGAGAGATTCCAAAGTTGGGAGTTCCTTGAAAAGAAGGTCCAGCACAGCGGGGCTGAGTGAATCAACTTCGAGTCCGAGCGATACAACGGGAGTTGGTCCAAGAGTTGAACCCAATTGCCTGATTTGCGGTAAATCCAAATGACACTTTTCCACGCGTAGGCACTTCAACGTGTCCTTTGACCGTTCAATCAAGGAGTATACGAACTTGAGGTCATGCGGAGGATCAACGATTGTTAGACTTCGCAGATTGGAGAATATTTGAGGATCTAATTCCAACTGGCTTGTGAACACGCCCCACGGACAATCGGACGAAGATGACGGATGTAGCGTGACACTAGTAAGTTGAGAGGAATTATCACGGAGGAATTGAATAAGGGTGTTTGGCTCTGATGGCTTTTTATCATCGAAGTCCAGTTGAAGAGATAACTGGTGTAGATGCGGGAAGACGTCGAGGGCGTCGAGGAAGGTGGAATAATCTACCCCACGAGCGGCATTTATAGAGAAGGACCGAAGGGTAGGGTGCAGTGCATTGACAAAAGGTGCCAACCGATTGGCCAGGAACTTCTGATCCGAATGGCGCTGAGTCGGCGAGCTGTCGGGGTGGAACCTTAGGATGACAGAGAGGTCTTCGATGCATTTGAGTTGGAAGGTCGTGTTGACTAGTGTTTGTAGTTCGTAGACTCTACTGCATTCGAGCACCAGTTTGCGTACGCATTGCGAGAGGGTCTTCTGTAACACGCGGATGAGAGGTTCTGCAGTCGCTGGCGCTTGGGTGGAGTTAAAAGTACACGTCTGAATATTGACCATGTTAGACAACGCCGTTTCCATCATTTCTCTGCCATTACAGGGCTTTCTGGCTTCGATTTTCATCTTCAACTTTTCGACTTGCATTGTTGTCTCCGGCTTCCCCTTTCCAAGCCCTTCTTTGACCCGGTCTATGTAGTGAGACGAGAGGTTCGCGATAATGGTCTTCGCTCCATCCGACGGGGTGCCGTAAAGCGCTATCAATACGGGTGCAGCAACATGCAATGTTCGAACTCGTAATGCGAGTGCCGGATTACTGGGATGAAGTAGGATTAGGATCAATTGCCGCTCCTATAATGTGAACCAATTTACCAAGACATGCAGATCAGCGTCTTCACTACGTCTTCGTCGAACTTTTGCCAATCGATCTCCCTGTATAGCCTATCCATAGCGGTATCGTAGAACGCACGATGTGCCGACATTATTCGGCGAAGCTGCTTGTCTTTGAGGTAACAGGAGATCTGTTTCCATATTTCGTACGGTAGAGGGTTGGCTGTTTCTTCCATGGCAGTAGAGCTGGGGACGAGATGCAAACTGGCAGAAACGTGCTTTTGTCAAATGCGTCCAGGGGCAGGGGTCAGTCGGGGCGGTGTCTACGGACAGGAGTGTTCTCGTTCAAAGCGATGCCCTTTCCGCTTGGAATGCCAGTCCAAGCCATGGCCGCGGGTTATATGTCCAAATGAGCGAACAGCCTTGCTCTGGCGAACACCAGTAAGGTACAACTTCGCTAGGTTGACGGACAGGGGCTGTTGATGGGCTTCGTCGCCACACGACATCAGAGCCATCAGTTTGCCGAACGCTGCCTCTCTTTCCCGGCAACATTCTCTTTGATTTCAGCACGATTCTCTACAAAGCAGACGACGCATGTGGTTCTGATAGGCGAAGCGGAAGAGTGATGCGGTCAAAGCCTCAGCGACTATCCATGCGTGCTAACCACTCCCGTGTTAGTCGTAGTGAATCCTAAGGGCAGAGATGTAAGTGGCTTAGCTGAAGGAAAAGGAGCAATGACGAACATCAGTAATTTCGGTGACAGCTTGAATATCTAGTACTACCCCTTCCAACGTTCGCGTGGCTTTCCCTCTCCGAGCAGAGATGATCCCTTGCATATGCGTAGCATGCGTTTGCTTCTTGTTTTTGCCGGACCTACAAGTCTCCCCTTTCCAACCTTCAACAAATTCGTACCGAAGCTCTAGTGTTGAAATCAAGGCTTCTATCAAAGCAGCGACGGTGAGAAGGGAAAGGCGGTAGCGAAGCACGTCTGGTTCTATATGGCAGTTCCGACAGTTATCTCGAAAGAGCGCGGTGGACAACATACGAAGAAGAGCCTCGTATAAACATTCCCAAGTCAACTTTTGTGCATACGTCCACCCGCCCGTGAAATCGAGTACCTGACGAAGGGACGGAAGTGCCATCCACAGCTGATCGAGAAGTAGTTGAGGGCTGCTGCCTAGTTGGAATGAAAATGCCGAAAGCAAGTCCCTCTGGGATGCCTGATTCCGGACTTTGAGAGAATGCGTTACGACAAACAAAGATACATACATACTTCAAGATCGTCAAAGGACATCTCATGGGGAGCGAGTCGCTCATATTCAGTAGACATGATGGGATGCAAAGGCCACAATGTATCGAGGTGAAGCTTTGGGTATAGGTTAGAGATGGCAAGATACTGAGGCGTTGAATTGACCTTAACACTTAAAGCAAGGCTCGCAACGGCAGCGTCAAAAATGACCAGCTCTAGTGCCGCTACAAGACATCGATGCCAAAAGCTGGCAGATAGAGTATCGTTGTAGACACACCTTGGGACTCGGGAATATTTGCGGGTTCAGCCTCTACTTCTACAAGAGAGAAATATCGTAGGAAGAGATAACCAGCGTGGAATCGAGTTTCCGGAGAATAAATTAACTGGTCGCGCAAATTCCGCGAAAACGGTCTTGAACTGCAAACATCGGTTGAGGCCTATCAGAAAATAACGTATTCAGACAATAACCAGTTAAGCCGCGAAAAGTTACATGGAAGATCCAATCCAACGCTCGCAGCCTGGCGTCAGAGCCAATGCCTAACCTTTGCGCCCAATCCAATCGTGTCTGCAAAATGTCGTTATAGCATGGAAGCAAGCCGTCTTGATCTCTAATACGGTGCTCGCTGTCTAAAAAGCGCGAAATTCGTAGTTTAGCTTCCGCTTCTTGGGAGAGTGGTAGGCGAGCAAAATGATCGAGGGGAGGAGCAATGATGGGAACCTTGCTCCTGATTTTCGGTACGTCTTTAGCAGGTGCTTGTGGTACTTGGGGGTCCCGTACAGTGAAACCGTTGTGTAAGCAACTTGAACCAAGTGATAAAGCTCTCCTGAAGCTCGCAGGCCGATGGGCAAACGAAATGTCACAGCTTGATGAATTAGCCTTGGGTTTCTTGGGGATATCTCGACAATCTATCACGTCGTTTGGTCGGTCTCGCTTCCCATTTTTGGTAGAATCAGAGCTTTCCGACAAGTGCTTGCGGAGCTGGCCCGACGTAGGAGAATTCAAAGGAGAGTGATACGGGCTACCAGGCGCAAAGATGGGAGTAGAGAGATCCGAATCAGAAGATTCGGGATCATTTGAAGACAGTTCGATTCCAGTGAGAGGTGCATTCACGGTTTCAGATGGTAGTAGAGCAGTCTCGTGCCGAAAAGAACCATCCTGGCAGTCATCCTGACCGTGTCTGAGCGCATATAATGACAGATTTCGATGTAGGATAACGTGTTGCTTGAGACCTGGATCATCTTGAGGGAAGACGATGGATTCAGAGGTATTGTTGGAAACTTCCCGCGGATAACTGCAGTCGTCGCCGGCTACATGCTTGACGGCGTGGATATTTTCGTGTTTTAGACGCATTTCCCATTGACATTCTGCATCGAGGTCAGGGCTGCTTGAGGGGGGAGGAAGAGACGCGTCGTCCCAGAGGGAAGACGATACACTTTCTTCGGAACTGATGGGTGATGGGCGGCCAGGTGAGGAATGAGGGGACGGCATGGTGGTAAGAGATTGAGCTGTCCAGGCGCTGCAAGCGCTTGCTGCCACCTTTCCCTACGGACGTAAGGGGCACCCCTAATCAAATCGATTCAGGTGAGATATAGCCAGAACCAGTCCACGTTAAGTAAGCAGTACTGTACAAAGCATTTTACTACAACTACAGGCAGGAAATCTTATATAGTGATTAATGACAATCTAGTAAAGCGAGACAGGGATGGCAGCCCCAGCGTGCAGGCCAGGTACGTTGTTCTGGAGTGCCTGATGGCTTTCGGCCCCCGAGGCTGTCTCTGGCCAGGAAAACCTGCCGACAGAGGGGTTAAACCACCATGCAACACTGCTGCGAAATATGAGGGCTTACCCAGGCATCATCATGTTTTGCCACCAAACGGGGTTCTTCAGAGCTTGCATCGTCGCAAGCATTTCTTCTTCGGAGACACCATTCTCCGTACCAAACATCAGCATATCAAAGTCGCTACCAAATTGGATAGGACCGGACCCTGCGGAGAAGGTAGCCTCAGGGCGGTAGATAGGCGTAGAGATCTTCTCAGATGTGGGTGACTGAGAAAACGTTGTAACAGAGAAACCCCCTGAAGGCGGTTCTCCTGTGCTGCCTTGAGGGGATACGGCGAAACTGGATGTTCCGGCTTGCGACATTGTGATGGAGCTAAAGTCGGAGTGGGTAGATACGTTCTGCGTAGGGGGAGGTTGAGTTTGTAGACGACCAACGGTGGCACCATCGCGGCGATGGCGCGACAGAAGCCCAGCAAGGAATCGCGCGTATAACTTGGGAGTATGCCTGTCGTCAATCGCAATCTGGGGCGAGCTCAATGTCTGTATCAACCGTCCTATGAGTTCGAAGATTTCTGTTTCTTGACCCTTTGAAAGTAGCTGGGAAAACTCTGGCCGGAGTAGCTAGCAAGCGTATCAGCCGATGAGAACGAAACAGGTAGAGAGATAAAGATACCTTCAGAAGGAACGCCGAAGCAAAAGATGCGAAAACAAAATGGCCTGGGAGGAGAGTCAGCAAGTCGAAGCGCTAAATAGCATAGTCTTTACCATCTGGAGCGTATCGCATATACCCACTAGGGGCAAGATTTTGTATCATATGTTTGATAACACCTTTCGCTGCATCCAGACACTAGGCGAAGTGATTTCAGCGGTGGTACACATAAAACGGGATATATATATATAACTACCTTCTTGAAGAAAAGTTGGTCACCTGGCTCGATTCCACGCTCGAAGGCTTGTTGGAATCCGAATGAGTACATGACGAGGCGTGAGTACTCAACAAGGCTGGAGTAAATGTGAGAGGAGAGCCGGTACATGCTGGGACTTTTACTTACAAGGGCAGGAGGAGGCATCGGAATGAGCAGCCCAGGTCGGTGGGGTCGGAACTCTCCTGGAATCGCTTCTCCCATTCTTGATGGTATTCAGATAGGTGATTGTCGTGGGTTATTGTCACCGTTCGGAAATCCACGTCCTGCGAAGGGTGGTGAGTGATAGTCCATGCATGGAACAGTTGACATACCTTGTTCAACCCAGTAGGCGAGTCGGGATCAGAGAAAATATCCTCGTGGAATCGTGCCACAATGCGTAGCAGGGCGGTATGAGCACAGAGGTGGACATCGTACTGTTCCAATATCAATTGGATTGTCCCCGAAATGGTATATCATACGCACTGGATGGTTATAACGGGAGCTCTTGTACCACTCCTTTGAGTTCCTCATGATACTGGTTTCGATATGAGAGACCGGTCCGCACGAAGGAAGATAGTTCACTCACTGGTCCTCTTTGATGGTGAAGGGCTTGCCAAATTGCGTGGCGGTCGAGCGGTCGAGATTGAAACAGATCATCCATACACGAGTTTTGTTCATGATCTCCCTTTCTTGTTTTTCATCCATCGCCTTTGGTTTAGTGACATGATGTAGGTTCAAGTCCGTCGCTATCCTGTACAAAGGGTTACAACCTCCGAGCCTTCCGCTGCGGAGCAGCTTACCGAATCGCAAGGCCGGTGTACAGCCAACTCCGATCTTCTTCCCACCTTCGAGCAGGCACAGCGAATATGCTCATCAGAATGTAGGCTTGGCAGAGTTCGACGGACTTCCATCCATCAGTCAATGCATTCGCAGCGGAGTGTTTGGCGAAGTGCATTGCTATTGGATATACCTCCGATTTCTCAGGATAATAGCGTGAAGATACTGCACAAACTGTTGACAGTTGTCGTCAGCTGAAACTAGGGAGGATACACGCGATAACAGGATACTCACTGACTGTGAACAAGAATGGACATCTCGCAAATGTTAAGGCAGGGGTGTGCAGCACTGGGTCCAACAGTGAAACGAATGGCTAGTGAAAGTGTCAGTTGAGAAAGCGCAGTCTATCTAATCGACAACGCACGTACGTTGACATGAGTATAGAAGCTGTCGTGTCTGGGTGAGATAAAGGTGACGCATGGGGAGAGGTCAACATACATTTCAAAGAGCTTTTCAACATCATCCGGAGTTACAAGCCCGTGTACCAGAATCTCAGGTGGACTATACTGTTGAATCAAGGTAGCACGCAGAGACAGATCGGTGGCGGGGCCTATAGAGTTACGTGAATATGCATCAGACACATTAGTCGATGGCTTACCTGGCATGAAGTACGTCTCGTTTGCAACACCCTGTGTCGGACACACATCAGATACACCAAACGATTCGTGCAGGGTCATTCACGTACCACATCATCGTCATCCTCTTCTTCGATCGCTCTCGGGTCCTTTTTGCCGCCGGACTTGCCTTTTGAATTGCTTAGGGCAAGTGTTGCTATAAGGCCGAGCGGAACATGGGAATCCGGTAGCGCAGATTGGAGCTTTTCGTCTTCTTGAGAGGCGTCCAAATTGCCATCCAAAGTGGCGTCGTCGTCAAGCCCGGGGACTTTTGGACGGGAAGTAGAATCATCAGCTTCGTCCTCCGATTCGTCTTCTCCTGTGCCATCGCCCCTATGGAGCTTGAAAGCGGCCGCACCTCCCTTGCCTCCGGCGGATTGGACGCTAGATCGAAGAAGGTCGAGCCAAGCATGGACGTTGCTGTTGTTGGTATCCGAAGGGGAGGTCGCCCTCTGATACGATGCAATCGACATTGGTGTCGCAATGTAGGGATTATGCAACTAGAGTGCAAGAAATAGTGTCAGGGACGGACAGGGGCAGACATGTTCAGGTCCAGAAGGGGACGACCTACTTGTTTGAGTAGCGACTCGATAATGGCATCCTTCTGTCGTATCTGAGCGAGGAGGTACTCGCGTTTACTAAGATTGTCAAAGGGATAGGGTAAGTCAGCTGTCGTCGACGACGGCGAGTCCAGGGGAGAGAAGTTTGCTGAAGGCATTCTGAGCCGTCTGTCCAACGCAGGAGACGAATGATCCTGGGAGGCGGTTCAGGGGGCAGAGCGAGCTGGATTAGAGATAATATCTCCAAGCTTTTGGACCCCCTTTTAAAAACAGCGCCAATCCCTTTTCCTCGCCGCACCGGCGAAGCCGCGAACTACCAAAGTAAACAAGGAGACGCAAGAAAAGGTAGAAGCAACTCCGAAAGTCCTAATGGACCAAGAGAGCGATCGCGACCGACGAAGTCGAAAACGAACAAGAGCGACACCCAGCCACCACCGCCGAAACAGACAAAACGACACTTCGAAATCACCAGTAACGGGAGAGATTGACGTACTTGGGAGCTGTTCTCGGTTTCCTGCCTTCCACTATGCATACGTGTCCGCCACTTTTGCATCGCTTGCATGTATTGTGACCTTTCGGGAAATCACATTTCATCTGAATCGCCGTTCGTGAGTAAAGTCAAGGACATATGCAGTGAGAGGGAAGCAATGAAGCGGAATAGCGTGCCCGGGGTGGAACACATACGAGCTTGCTACGATCAAAAAGGATCGAAAGAAATCCACAAGATACAGCCACCACCGAGGGCAACACGCACACCGTCGCAACGTGATCGTAATTCAGGCAGATTAATTACTGGGGCGCGCAGCAAACGCCCGCTGTGTCATTGGAGCGAACAAGTCAACGCCAGGGGAATGGATGCCAACGCCGCAGTCTTAGCTATCGCCCGACTGCGATGCGAAAAGGCGCGTCCGACAAGCCACGCCAATCAAGCATCGCCATTCAGGGTCCGAGAAGCCGACATTACCGATAGGAAGAGGCGGGGCGATGCTCACCTTCAGCTTCTTACAGTGAGTACACGCTCCGGGACTGCAGATGCGAGCCGGTGGCGGCGGACATCATAGCGAAGATGTTGAGCAAGGGACGATGACGACAGGACATCGATATGTTAGATGCGTATGCCACGATGGGTGTCGTCCAGTCAGATGTCCAAGAAGCGCCAATAATTGAAAGCCCCGAAGCAGCACCGGATCCATACACCCATAACGGTGGTCGAGTGTCAAAGTAGCGAATATCAAATAGCATGGTTCGGAGGTGGTTTGTCGCCGAATCAAATTAGTGGCGTTTGAGGCGACGCAAGCGACAGCGCCGCACGGCCAAAGACACAGGTCCAGACATAGTGGGGCACCAGGGTAATAGCATCCGCGCGTTCGACATTTGGAGTGGAACAGACACATTTTGGTCGACGAATATAGTAATGAGTCACGTGCGACACGGATAGGCCAGCGGGCGCAGGCGATATAAATTCACCGGAGAAGACGACATCGACATGAACCGGGGTAGGAACACGCCGGATATGCAGGGAGCGGACGGAGGGGCATCGGTCACGAAGCAAAAATAATGCGTTGATGGTCGCGTCCAGGACCACGTAGAGTATCGGCATGCGTAGGCAACAATACGGCGAAGGTACAACCCCGGAGTCCATAAGAAAGTCGAGCGCGTTATTCACGAGGACCAGGCGGGAACATCGCATGCGAGAGGCAAGCGAATTACCAGGTTCCGTATAGCGCAAACCGTACGAGTTTGTATTGGAGGGACGTCGAAACACCGGACGTTGATGGGGATAGGACAGTCGTAAGTCGAAAGTCCCAAGGTAAACGGATTTCCAGAAGTCGACAGTCGAGTGGAAGCAAGGGGAAAGCAAGATGGAAGAACACGGTCAGCGATACTGATTATCACGCGAAGGCACACAGCGCCTATATACATAAGAAGACTCACAGTCGAGATGAAGCACTCTGCGAACCACCAGAAGACTCTACACCCACACCAGCCAGTCCGACTCTGATCTCCGAGGCCATGCTCCAGCTTCCTGGTGCTGGTGCTGTATCAACATTAATTGTGAATCTTGCGCACTCAACAGCCGAAGCTGGGAGAAGAGAAGACAATGGTTAACTCACGAAACATGGCAAATCCTTCATCATCACTATCGCTGTCGGTCTCTTTGCCTCGCTGGCGCTTTCTGCTACTAGCCCCGTAATTCCCGCTGACACGCCCCCCACTCGCCGCAGCCTGTCCACCACCTGTCGCCCTTCGCTTCGCGCTACCTCCACTCGTAGTTGCCCCCGCCCCCGCCCCCAATGTTCCGCTGCTGCCGCTTGCCCCAGGACTCCTTTGAGAGGGGACTGTCGTATTTGTATACTGCTGCTGGGGAAACGCAGGAACGTTCGCATTCATAACACTAGAGATACCCGCTCCTTGTTGACCTCCTTGCCTCGCTTGTTGCCCTTGCGAGTATTGTGAATGTGTTTGTTGAACATGCCCTTGGGATGTGTGACTCGGCAACCCGTGAGCGGGTGATACGCTCTGTGCATGGGTGAACGGAGAATTGGTTGTGGTAGAGCTTGGGGAGTAGGTGCTCGAAGCTCCCTGGGAGTAACTGGAGCCGGGCATTCCATTTCCACTATTGCTGCTGATACTACCCGACATATCAGCGACGCCGCCATCTTGCGAACGTGTGTACGTAGCATGGGGATTCGCCGTCAGCGTATCAGAGTAGTACGGATACGATCGATCCCCAACTTGATGAGTTTGCTGCCGCACCGGTTGTGAGTGAGGATGATGGTAATTTTGAGCTATCGACGACTGCGTGGTGTTCGCTACGGCTGGTACCCTTCGTCCTTGGGGCTGGGACTGCGTTGGGTTGTACGTGTTACTCGCTACCGCTGCCAACCCCGAAGCCCCGTGGTGATCGGGGAAAACAGTGGCAGCTGTGGTATACTCGTTGTAATCGTATGGGTCCGTTCCAGAATCCCCCAAGGCCGAGGTCAACGCTGAGTGGGACATGTGCGGGCGAGGATGAGGCTGGTGGAGGGTCTGCATAGGATGATTTGGTTGGACCATATGATGTTGATGTTGCGCCCTATGTGGTAGAACGAAAGATGTGAGATGTGTCATGCTAGCGTGCGAGGGTCCATTCCAAATACTGACCAGTAATGATACTCCTGAGCACGGGCATCCGCTGTCTGCTGCTGCTGCTGAGCCTCATCTGGGTCATAGAACGACGACGTCGGGCCTATCATTGTCGTCGTTGTCGTCGGACGTGGCTGTATCGCACCGGGAACTGAAGAAGCCTTGGATGTTGATGAATTTGACGCTGTGGGATCGTATTTGTCATTCTAGATGATAACAAAAGATAGATGATAGAATACTCACGACGAACCCTCGTCCCGGATGAAGATGATGTCGAAGATAACGCGGACGGTGATGGAGGTTCCAGTGCTGCCCGGTGCTGCCCGTGGCCTTGATGAGAGTCTAGTTGCTGGTGCGCTGACCTGTGGGTGCGGTTGCCAGAATCCATGCAGCCAAGGCCGGATTTCTTATACGCGGAAAGTGTCAATCAAATAACACCAGAATATGCCCGGCTGCGATTGCTGCAGTGTAATGGGAATGAAGGTCTGTAGTCAAGCTCGGGCCCCAGACCTGATTCCGAGTCAGCCTGAGCCAGTGCAATGCTTCCATCAATTTCACCTTGCTTTTTGGGATATGTACACCCGGTCGGGCCTAATCAACCACCGTCTCTGCAAAACCGACCGCCTGTGCTCCCCTATACTGGCTTCAAGCTTTGGCTTGGGATCGAAGCCAAATTGAGCACAATGTGCGGTGGGTTCCACTGCCTCGATGTCGAGTAGTCGTCGAGGTCGCGTTTGGGTCCCCTTCACTCGACCTGTTTGTCCGACCGTTCCCGTGCGCACGTATTAGCAGAAAGGAAAGAAGAAATTTGCCTGATGGCTGCTGACCCATCGATTAGTCTAGAATTATTAATTACTACCTCCCCGAACGGTAAAGCTAAATGGTCACCTACCCACACCCCGTTTTCGCTCCAAGCCACTGATTCAGATGCGAAGCGTCCTTATGGTTCTTGTATTGTGGCATGTTCCATTCGCTGTCAGCGTGTGTCGGAATTATACTCACATGTCGCCTTCCCTGCATTTCTTGGACAAACCTTGCACGAAGCGCTGGAAAATACACTTCCGTTCGTTCCCTTATATCCGTGTCACAACTTCTCGAGGGTTGCAAATGGGCACTTCCGATCAACTACGTTTCGTACTGCGTCTGATCCTTTCATTGATTCCAAAAGTTCGTGCAGAAAACGCACATCGGGGTAGGGAGATGAGATGGGAAAATCACGGTCATATTAGTCCATTTTTGGGCAAAATCGGCAAATGGCCCCTAACTGACCCTAACTTCCTATTCTTTGCAAAGTGGTTTAAGGTCCAAGAATTGGCGCAACGTAAGACGCGTGCCATACAATGTTGTTACAATGTCAACTATCACTCTCCAGATCTTTTATACTAGCAAATTCAACGGTTGAACGTGTTCACGAAAATAAGAGGGGAAGGCGCCGTTCGGTGACCTGTCAATTCAACGGAGACAACGAAGAGGATACTGACTACCGTTCCTCAGTTGGACGGAGAGGAATGAATCGCGCCAGCAGTCACAACCAGTGACCTCGGTTCTTTACTCCGCAGACTTAACGAAGAGACTTGCAACCCAAATGAACTCGGTTTCGCAGATTTCTTCGGCAAGTATCGTGTTCTTCAGGGCTCAAGCCAAGGACTTGTCTATAAAGATTGCCACTCACGTTTCGCTCGGGTTCTCATCCTGCATCAAATAACTGTCCAAATACATGTATGGGCGCAGTCGCCGATTACTGAGTAGAAGCTTATGTCGAGCCCACTTCCTCTATCCCGTGGTAAGGAACGGACGGAATTCCTGAGCCCCTGACCCCTAAATTGACTATGGGACTTGTCAAGGTAATTTTGTTGACAAGCTTTGAGGCGTCCCGGGACGTCGAGCTCCTGGCTGAAGCTCACGAAGTTTGTGTGCCAGCTTTGAGTGTGAACATTTTGGTTAGACTTTGCCTCTTTCCACTCAGATCCACTGCAGAAGCCATCCACGGAGGAAGGGGCATGCGGCGAATCAAAGTGCACTGAAGGCCATGGAGTATTCATATCCTAGCCAAAGGAAATACTTCGCTTAAAATTCCTAGAAATCTTGAGCAATCAACTACCGAGCCAGCCTGATGATATCGCGTGCTCCGACTGCGATGGAGCTTCCTCTTTAATGACTTCGTTGCCCGATCTGTCACCTATTGCTTGTAGGCAGATCCTGGGGAAAGTATTTGGCAGCCACAGAGCGCTTGCCCGCCCAAGGATCCTAGCTTGGGGGGTTCCGATAACGTGCACCCACTCAATCATATTGATCCGTTGGTAAATATACATATACTTACACTAAGGGATGGCTAGTGGCTTGAGACATGCACATAATCTTTTACGTGTCCGTTGGTCGACGTGCTACCCCGCATGAAGATGGAACGACTCGACAGTGAAATTAACCGGGTCGCTATCGTTCGGTACGATGAGGGGCGGGCCGTGGCATAGGTGATTACCTATGAATCCATGAGAAACGGAGGGGACTACGCTCCAAGCATTCGAACGTCAAACATGTGAGCCATTATGATGCATAAAATATTTATCCCAGCCACTGAGCAACGGTTGATTAAGTTCGCAACGAGAAAGCAAAGTTTAGCTCATGTCAATCAATTTTCGAGATAAGTTGATTCGCTTCGCTGCAATGGAAGGCCCTGGATTGTACATGAGCAAGGGCGCACAATTAGCAGTCAATCTGAATCGTGAACGCGAGTTACCGGATGACTTTGTACCGGTTTGCAAATGTTATACTGGCGCTGGTTGCTGTGAGTAAGTACAAGGAAGGCATCACCAAGTTTCACCAAAGGCCGCATCTCCGCCCTCGCCTCCGGAATAGCTCGACCAATACCCACAATAATGGGTGGAACGTTGATATATGACGGCATGTGGCGATGCAACTAATATAGCTCACCGTGGAAGTAGATTCCGGAATCCGGTTGGTCGGCCATCATGCATCGTGCATCAGTGAAATCAATCGATTATGTAGAAGCGGCTATGAGCATGTAGTTCAATTGGCCTGGAAGATCAATATAGCGGGAGATAATGCGAGCGTATGTACCAAAATATCTGCAGACCGGCTATTGGAGGGAGGTGAACCGGGGTTCTTTGTTTCGACGGTATCTCTTGCTGTATAGCGACCTAATACGAATCAACCTTGCGTCGATCGAACGGTCAAAAATCTTACATCGCTCACCTGTCCAAGCTCGGGCCCTCGCCACCACGGAGGTAGAGTCATTCAAAGAAACGATGGCATATAAGGTATAGCCTAAAGTACATCCATAAAAACTACAATCCTTAGAACTACATTGACACCTATATTGCATATATAACAATACTGGAACGAGCTTCCGCCAGCGGAAGGAAGGTAATTAAGGTCTCCAAATACCTAGTTTCATGCGCTTCCTTGATCGCGAAGCGGGGCTCAGTGCCTTCCTCGCCGAGGCCGAAGTAGGTGACCGATGGTCCTTCCTTCTATGCGACCACATCGACAGCTTCAGAGGCATCAGCGTAGGGCGTTTCGAGCGGTCTGCGCCCTGGACGTCTCTCCGCGAGCCGGTAGACAAAGTGGTATTGGCGATCGAAGGGGGAGCGAAGAAAACTTGGTTGTGATGGCACGTGCCCGGGATGCGGGAAACTGCAACAGAGGAAGGAGGGATGCTATTTGACACAGCATTTGGGGAGCTTTCATCGTACCCATAACGTCCCTTAGGTAGACACAGATGCGCTGACGATCGAGTCCCATGGCCGTGCACACAACGTTGGTGCAAGAAGTTCAAGCCGATCGGGGATGCCTGCAGGTTGGACGAAGCGTCTGACATATCGTACTTTGTAAACGTGCTTGTGCTGGCGATAGAGAAGTCGGCCAGGGTATCATCGTCGTCGAATTCGGCAGACATCCTGCGTGCCGGAGTTATGGCGTCGATGTTCGTGAAGGATAACGAGTGGGAGGAGGAACAAGCACAAGGTCCAGCGGGGTACAGCGACACATTCGATGAGGCTGCTTCCAGCATCTCGTAGGTCTGGACCTTCTCCTCTAGGATCTCCGCTTTGCGCCGGGTGGTCTTCAGGTCATCCGCTAGAGACATCTCCACCTCGCTTGATAACTCCTGCTCGATGTACCGTGCCTCTTGTCCAAGCTTCAAACCGTCCACCTCATGCACTAGACGCTGATAATCCTTCATCCACTCGCAGTTGATCTCCGTGATCTCCCTCTCGTAAGATTCACGGACCGACAAGATCTCCTTCTTGGAAGCCTCTAGCTCGGCGATGAGGTCCATGACGAAATCTTCCACCAGCCCCTCCTTCCTCACGTCTACCATCATCTTCTCAGCCGTTCGCGTGATCATGGACTCCTGAGCCTTCTTCAGCCGCTCACATGAAGCGCGTAGTTCTGAAATCTGTCGTTCCTGCTGCCATATGCGATTCTGGAGAAGCAAGCGATCGGTAAAGGCGGCGAATGTAGACCGGGCATGGGCCTGCTCTTTGGTCCGATTGACCGATCGAAGGACCTTCAGCTCCTTCTGCTGTTCCCATACGGTGTTCGTCAAGACGAGCCGATCACAGAGGGATGTGAAAGCGTATGGAGTTGGGTTCGTAGAACAGGAAGGGTCACGAGGATACGGCGAGGTCGCCGCGTGTTCTGATAGTTCCTCGCCTAGCGCCCCGATGGTAGTCTGTGATGAGGATAGTGTGATCATAGAGTCGGAATAGTGATTGGGAATGCCAGCGGACGCCAGCGATGTCACTGGGCTTCTATCTCGCCTTTGGCGGGTTCGGGACAGGTATGTTGGTAGGACAAGGAGCCAAATGGCGAGTACGGATATTATGCATAGCAGCCATGCAGGCGATGATGGTGGGCACGCAGTGTCGAAGCCGCTGAAGGGGGATTGATGCGTAAGATGTGTCGCCGTTGGAGAGAGGTGGTAGTATAGAGCATCCATGCTGGCGAGTGCGAGGAAGTCGCTTCGATCCCGCCAAAAAAGTAAGCGGAGGGGTAGGAATGGGAAATAAGTAAAGAAGTAAGTTGGCACTTCGACCTTCTATATATCATGTGCGGATGGTACGCTGCTCAACCGTCCTCCCTCAGTGCCTCATGTATCAATAGGTTAGAGGGTGCTTTTATCGCTGGGGGATCAATGTTTCAAGTCCTCGTTTCTGGTGAGATTACAAGTATGCATCTCGCCTTGCGGACTACACGTTCCCTTCACGTGAGTTAATGTCGCCGGGAGCTTGCAGAGGCTTACCGCGCCCGTTGTAGCAATTCCACCACTAACTTGAAGCTCGTAGTCCGTAAAGATGGAGCATGCGGAGAACTGCGCTAAACAAGTAACGCGCAAGCGCACAACCATGATACTAGTAGAAGGGATTTACCGATGAAGGAGGCGCTACGATCCAATACAATGCATTTCCTTCTTCGAGCCAATATTCAACGAGCACAATATTCTGTATAGCTCCTTTCCCAACTGCATCGTCACCTAGAATCGATGGTACCGAGTTGCGCCCTGAGTCAACGATCACTCGTTTCGGTAAGTCGGTTGAACGGCGTGTCGACAAGGCGAGTCGAAATCTCCGGGGGACGCAAGAGTGGCACAAAGGCCGGAGTATGAGTGAGTTGTATTCGAGGAAGTGAAGAACGTTCATAACGGTCACTTTGAGTCTGTGTGAACTGGCCGACGCGTTGGCACGTGGTCCTCAGATCAATCTAAATTCACGCGTCCGATCCGCCACCGTTGTGGCGATACTCACTCAGTCTCTTGACAATGGGGCAACGAGATCGAGTCTTCCTCGTCGCCAAATCTCATCGTTTTCAAAGGATACACCCGCTATGGATACCGATGTGTGGCTCCAATTCACCACCGATGGTGTTATGGCACTCTCCCAGCTCGTGCGGCAGGACGATTCCTGGACCTAACAAAAGCGCCCGTTACTGCCGAGCTCATTCGATTTGAACTTCGCCGTTTCGACGAAACCGAGGCTATCAGAGGTGAATATTCACCATCCCCATATCTTCTCTACAATTTCGCCCTTTCTTTACGTCGATCTCGAACAGGGGCACTCCTTCTTTTTTTTTTTTTTTTTTTTTTTTTTTTGGTTGAGCGTTAGATAGCAGATCGTCTCCGTCAGTGCCAGAGATTCCTTGCCCGCTGTTGCCCCCGGGAAGTTTTCCCCGGGGTGAGATAGTTGAATTGTAACCACGAGGAAATGCTTTTGCGCACGATGTGTGGGACTCGAGACCGGTCTTGAAGCTTCGCCTACCCCTCCTCCTGGCTCCGCCTCGGTCTAATACCCACTAAAACCCCGTTTAATTTCGTCCAGTTCCTCGGAAGGTTCTTTTCTTCGTGGAGGGCACCCTTCCATGTTTGGAGGACGACTTTGGTGTTGAGTTTGTGTTTCCCCAGGTTTTCGCTTGTCATTTCGCGGTCCAGATCGAGCCGGGCGTTAACTGTGGCGATCCACCTGTTGGTTACTTCCTGGGTTGTAAATGGCGTGTTTTTGTTCTGTATTACTCTTTCGCACCGTAGCTTCCATATTAAGTACGCAGATTCTGATATCAGTATACGCCATAGCCTGTCTCCGCCCGGGTCACGGTCTTTCTTTTCTTGGTTGGTTTTTGTGAGTGCGCATGCGACGATGTTACCAATCCATGGTTGTGTCCATTCCCTCCCGGTTTTCGTCCAGATCTCCTTTGCCAAGTCCCATATCTGTTCTTGTCCGGGTGTTTCGCACCTGGATAATATATGGCTCATATCTTCTATTTTCCCGTTGCAGTGTGGGCATTCACTTCGTTTTTGAAGTTCCTCTGAGTAGTTTGCTTGGAGCCAGTGTGTTCCTATGCAGTAAGCGTCGTGCGTTACCATCCATAGGTAGTATCTTATTTGTCTTGAAAAGTCTTTGTTTTTTGTTGCGTTCCAGATTCTCCCTTCGGTTGGGGTTTCTTTGATTATTTCTTCAACCTGACTTTGTATTGCGTCCAACATTTCGGCTGTTCTTCTTCTATCTCTTTGTTCCGCCGCTTCGAGGTTTATCTCCCTAATTGCTTTGTACGCTAGGCTTTGTGTCATTTTAGACAGTTTCGCTCCTGTCAGGCGTTGTGCTATAGGTACTTCTTCGTTTATTTGGAGGGCCTCGTTTTGCGGTTTCCTGGCTCCGGAGTCTGCGAGCCTATCGGCTGCCTCGTTTCCGGCGTGTCCATTGTGTCCTTTGACCCATCGTAGTTTAATCTTGTTGTCTGCGCCTCGTATCTTTGCTACGGTGAGCTGTATCAGTTTCTTGTTTGCTTTTCCTATGTAACCTGTGTCTTCGAGGTTGGCTAGGTTCTTGGTCAGTGTTTCGATTGCGTATTTGGAGTCTGTTTCTATTTCTAGGTCGTTTCTGGGGCCATTGTTTTCCACTGCGGCCAGGATTGCAGTCATCTCTCCCGTTTGGTTTGTTTGGGCGAATGTGTTGGGTACTCTCACACATATATTCCTCTCGTCATCAACCGCATAGTACACTCCTGCTCCCGCGGCTGCTTCGCAGGTGGTCGCTTTGAGGCACGATCCGTCGGTTGCTACTCTTGTGCTTGTCCTCGGTTCGTCTGGTCCTTCTTGGTGTTCCCCTGCTTCTTGTGGTTGGTTCTCGTCCGTTATTTGTCCCTTTGTGAAGATTCTCACTGCGTCTTCTAGGGTGCTTGCTTCTTCTAGTTCCCGGTTGAAGGTTTTCCACTCTCCCTGTGGCTCAGCTTCCTCTTGCTCTCGGTCGTTGATCTTTCTGGGATCCCACTTCGTTGGTAGCTTGTCTAACAGCTGTTTCGCTCGTTCGAAACACTCTGCTGGGTGCGTGCACATATGTACGTTCCTCGCTTCCGTGCATCCTGGGCATTTACACCGTCTTGATTTCTTGTGTTGATTGTGTGTTAGGTTGTTGGCTGCTCGTTCTGTGTCGCCTACCAGCCTTACTTTATGTTTTATGCGCAGGCATTTGCTCGCATTGGATGTCGTCGCCATCCTTAGTCTGGCGTTTTCTCTCGCATGTGCCCATATGGGCATTTCCCTGGCAGCGTTTTTCGATACTTTGATGGCTTCGAGTCTCGTTCCGTATTTTAGCGCTGTCATTACCATTGCTTTCAGGCTTTTTGGGCACTTGTTCGTTGGGCCGTTTAGTTTGGGTCGCCAGGTTTGGAGGAACATGTTGTCTTTGAGTTCTGTTGGTATTGTTGCGTCGCTTTTTCTTTCGTTCATTGCTAGTATTTTATCTGCAAAGTGTGCCCACAGCGGTCTATTGTTTAGTCTGAGGTATTCCTTAATCCACATTATTTGTATTGCTTCGTTTCTCGTTCGTATGTCGAGCACCCCCTGCCCGCCTTTCATGGGTGGCGCAAATATTATGTCTTCGCGGATGGGGCTCCTCTTATCCCCCCAGAAGAATTTCCTTATCCGCTTCCTGAGGTTGTCTTCGATCTGTTTGGGCATCCCCTGTACTCTGGCGAGGTATTGGGTTCTCCCTCCCACAACCATCTGTATAATTAGCTTCCTCCCTTCTGATGTGGGGTGCCCCCTTTCCCATCTTTCTAGGTCTTCGTCGATCTTCTCGACGATGGGCGTCCACGGGGATTCTTGGTTGCCATTGTTCCCGATCCATGCGCCTAGGATTCTGGTCAGTTCTCCGTCTGGGATTATTTTCATTTCTCTCGATATCTCTTGGTGCTTTGGGTTTGTTTTACAGTCTCTTATTACCCTTTCACGGTATTCTTGGCTGCCAATTGGCAGTATTTGCGTCTTTTTTGTGTTAAACTTTGCGCCCGCTGCTATGCACCATCTGTCGAGTATTGCTTGCAGTGTATTGAAGTTAGTGTTGCCGCGGCTCCGGCTTGAAGCCAGCTTGGAGCCGGAGCCAAGCCACGTTGAAGCCGAGCGAAGCCGAGCCAGCCTCCCAGCTTCGCACGGCTTCGCTCCACAGCTTTGCGGCTTGAGCCGGCTTTGAAGCCTGCTCAAGCCGCCTTTCCATGGCCATCGGCGCCTATTCCTCTTGCTTTCTCTTTTGTTCCTCGCTGCTCATCGACGGGCCCGTTCAAGTTCCTACGCCTTGGTACGCTCATATTAACCTCTGTGAGGCTCTTCTTCATGCTGAATATACATGCTCTCTTTGAATCCTCCAGCTGTGACCGCAACATATCAACCGCAGATGAGGCAGCTGGGCTGACACCCTCAGAGTCGAGATGGACCTTTAAAGGTGTGTACAGCCATCGTTATCAGTCTTACACCTTGCTCATGCGTGAAACACCCCAAATCCGCGATGTTTTATTGTAGCAGGCCACACATTACCACCGTGCTCGCAATGTCGGCGTCATCACCTCACCACTAGCCTTGTACTTCGGCTCGCGTAGTGCCTCCCTGTTTACAACCTCCTCTATCATTTCCGCTACCTGCTGTGTTGCGCCATGCATTTACCATGTTGAAGGAGGCTTCGACTGTATCCGCCACCACCATCACTTTTGCGCGAGGCTTCGCTTAACCCTTGACTCGTCAGTCGCCATATTACCTACATGTTTCAGCCGCTTCAGCCCTCAGGCCTCATTGGTTTTAGCTTATTCGCCTTATTGATTCATCACCTTTCACATGTGTTTGCTTTGAGCATACTGTTGCGGTGCTGCACGACCATCGCATGGATGAACTACTGTACTAAGTATTTAACTACACAGGAGAGCAAGAAGCCAACCTATACTTGCTGCGCTTACTTACATATGGCCCCGCGCCGGCAAAGGACTCCAAGCCCCAATACTGAGGTGCTGCCAGCGCCTGTGGCACGCCGCTCCCCGCGAAGGCGGGCAGGGCGCAGGCAACTGGCACCTTCGCCCCCATCATCTTCCAATGAGGAAATCGAGCTGAATGCCCAGGATTCGGCATCCTCGAGCGAAGCAAGTGACCAGCGTCCTCAGGCTCGTCCTCGTGGTCGTGCTGCC